TGGATGCGGATGTGACTTCTCAAAATCCGCTACATCCCATCCCCTCCATTAATCTACTACCATTGTGTGTACACACACACATTATACTTTATAGTATAGACGGAAGGCTAATAGCTCACTATTGAGTGTACTACTTTAGCCAAAATCTAAAATTATAATTATTTTTAATTATTCTACACTTAGTCTAGGTTTTAATTAGGTCTTTCTTTTCCAAAATGTTATTTTCTATTTTCTACCTTTTACACTTTTCATGTCAGATTTGTTCTTTTTCATTGTGTCATAATCACTAATTTTGGTATTTGAATGCTTGAAATATTATATTATAATTTATTTTATTCTTAAAACTTAAAATTTATCATTCTATCTGCCAAATCCGTCATTAATTAGGAGATCAGATGAATTAGATCCGTACCGTGACTGTTGATGTAGACATAGTTTTTCAAATAATCCCCCTTTAACGGATTACATGTTAATTAATTATCTCAAATTTGCTCCAATCTGCTCTTCGTTCACCCCTAATATTGAATTTGGTGTGGAGAGTTATTTGATGCACACTATACTAATGAATTGTGGGAAAAATAAAGTAAAATACATAGGAATTATATTGAATAATGAAAGTAATTAAGCTTATCCGATCCTCTTATAGAACATAGAAAAACGTGATGAAAAGAAAGAATCAAAGTAGCAAACAAATTAAATGGGTGGCAGTAGTGCAGATGGATTGAATAGGAGAGTCCCCATAGATGAATAGCTGAAATATGGGAAGGGGGCATGTACGTTTCTCAAATTTCTAAGCTAAGAAAAGACATAATGATCGATTTGCACAGACTTTTGGAATGTCATATGATGCATACAAGGTTGTCAGAAAAAAGAGGGAATCTTTGTTTGTTTAGTCATTAGTTTTTCTGATCTAAGTATATATGTGTTTTGGAATTTAAGCTGCAGCTTGCATTGCTGTAGCCTGCATGCAGTGTGCAGATGGATGGACTGCAGGGCATTCAACACAAGAAGAGGAATTGAAATTTGTTTAATTTGTAAAAATGTATGTGAAGAAGGAGAATATTTGTTTTGTTGGTTAGGAAGATATATAGATGCCTTTGCACAATGTTTAGTCACTCCCCGGCCCCACATGTCTCCCACCCTAGCTACCGTCTCTCGTCATGACTTGAGATCAGGTGATCAACCACTATGCTAGTCCCATCACCTATGGACAATGACATGCATCTTTGATTGCAGGGAATACCAACAAACAGCTCTTACTGGAGTTAAATTTGACACATTGTGATTATCAAGCTAACTGTCTGACTAAGAAGGCATATATCTGCCCGCATGGGCAGCTCAACTGGTCATAGAAGTGAAAGTTGAAAAGAATGGTTAGGGATCGAATCTCACCAGCGACAGTGTGAGAAGTGAAGAGGGCTCCTTGTGCACAGTAAGCAAAGGTCTAGCCTATGTGATTTATTGCTCTGTGGGAAACCTTAGGGTTGGGGTTCAACTTTTAGAAAGAAGAAGGCATATATCTACATAGGATGATAAAATATAACCCTTTAATTTTAATTGTATGAACATTGAACAATATTTTTATTATTTTTTATTTTACTCCATATTAAAAATCGTCTCATTTTTAAGTGAGCAACGAATTGAAGCAATTAATTCAATATGGCATCAGTATGATGCTATATACTTATACATGCACTAATATAGGCATAACAACATGCAGAAATTCTCAAGCACGAAATGCTCATAATATCAGCACAAAATATTATTTTCTAAACTCTAAGCCCTTCTAATATTATTGGTATATTGCAGAAATTAAAATTGAATATATAATATGATAGTGGTAATTTTACCTTTACTTCCACTACACCTTTGGCAGTTGAAATGAAGTTTTGGTCCCAATCATTGGCCACTTAGCTTTTCCTTTCCTCGTATACCATGCATTATTGCAACCTCCACCACTTACCAACCTTAATTATCACCTCTACATATATTATATATATTATTTTCATTCTTCCTTTTCCTTTGTTATATCCATTCTCAAACTCCACAAATCAATAACTTATAAACACTTATTTAAATTTTAGTTGTGCACTAATTTCTTATTGATTGTATGCACTTGTTATTATAAGTAATTTTACATATTAATAGCTTAAACATATCTCTGAAAAATAATTAATACTACTCGCATATCAGAATAACTAACATAATATGTTATCCATACTACTATATTGAACAAGGCAGCGTAGTTTCAATAAACAGGTCATTTTGGGTCTAATTGCATGACTTTGGGTTGTTTATTGATCTAATAGTATTTTTTTAGTTTGTACAGTTTTGTGTGCAGTTGAGTGGCCTATTTGACCCTTATTCCTAAAGAATTATAAGGTGACATTGCTAATTTCATTGTTTAAATAAATATTTTCTATTTTGAAAATTTTTATTTATTTTTTTATTTCTGTGTTCCTTGAATTGGAATCCAGGATTCATAGGATCTATAAATTTGGGCCTTCAGTTATGAATTGAATTTGTATCTTCGGGCTAAAACAGGCCCACAATTAGTAGCCCACATCCATATGGCCCATAGACGCAGAAAATCAATTTCTTGCAAATTCAAATAATTTTTGAAATTAAGAAAAAAAAAATAATTTTGAAAGTGCCCTGAGGTCCCAAAAAACAAATGAAAGTGGCGTGCAGTTGGCATGACTATACAAATTTCGTTTTTGGAGTCTTAAATAATAGATATATTGGTTTTTTTCTTCAATAAAAATTAAATTTATTGCAACCACAACAAAGAAAATAAAGACTGAAAAAGAATGTAGACTTATCCCTAAACAAAAAGTAAGAAAAAAAAAGGGTACAAATTTGTACACAAAACCGACTAACAATAAGATTTTTCTTTACTCTTTTTCTTTCCAAAACCAAATAAAAAAGAGGGTCTGTGTATAATGATCCAAGAAAGACAATTTCATCTACCCTCCCACATTATCACGCATATCATCAAAAGGAACATTAATCTCCTACTCCCTAGATGAGGAATAAGGTGAAGCAGTATCCAAATGCCTTAGACTAATAATGACATTGTTTGGCAATAAACAGTTAGTTGTTACTTGTTAAGTGATTTGACTAGTAAATAGTATTAGTTGTGATGGGGTGTGGATCCAACGGGGTTAGGGCCCAAGAAGGGGAAAGGGTCAAAGCCCAGGGAAGAAGAGGCCCAAAGATAGACCCAGGCCAACACAAGTAGTCGGCTCGAGTCGAAGGTCGAGGCGAGCACAAGGTCGGCACGAGTAGTAGGTCAGCCTGGAAATAGCCGTTATTATTACATTATCACCCATAAAACCTATTTACTACCCTATTATTATCCCACTTATTACCACTAGTTAATTACCTAATTATTAATATTATTATCCATAACCTCCCAAAGTAAATATCATATCAAACACCCTACTAAATTACCCAACGGCTATAATCCCATCCTACTACTATAAAAGAAGGTTCAAGAGCACAAGAGGAGGCATCTCATTCATCTTCACATGGGAGGACTCTCCCAAGTACTATTCTCCCACTTACTATTCTTTCTCTCATAGAAAGACATGTCACTCTTCCTACACCACTATCCCAAGAAGACTCTATTCATCTACACACATGAAAAAACTCATCACTCTGCCAAGGGGAGAAGATTCCACCATTCCTCCTCTCAACAAGAAGGCCTCGTCATACACACTCTTTCAACAAAGAAAATCAAGAAGAGCATTCCCTCTCTATATACAAATCATAGCTCTTTCTCTACACAATATTTTTATATACAAAATAGCCATACAACTTGTACAAACAATCCTACGGTATAGTGAATTTAGGCTTGGCACTGCCCAAAAAGACCTGTGGTTTTCACCTTTCGATTTCCACGTAAAAATCATTGAGTCACACTTCTTCTATTTTAGTAGTCTTATTATGAAAGATGAATCCACCAAGTAAGGTTGTGTTGGACCTCCCTGGGCACAAAAACCCTAAAACCAACAAGTTGTTTGTGGAGAAATATTGTAAAACCATTTACCGGCCAATATATATGTTTATAAGAAATAGTGAAAATAAATTTTTATTAGATATTCATTAATTTTTATTTTTATTATCATAAAGAATAAATAATAAAATATTATTTATTTATTTATATGTAATTATTAATAATCAATAAATAATGACATTGTGTGCAATAAACCGTTAATACAAGGCTGACAGCGAAATGCTTTCTTGAGATGCAAATGAACTTGCATGAAGGTGTAGCGTTGGTGCCACGCCTCAGGAATTCCTTACATGGATAAATGTCCTACATGTACCAACCATTTTTTTATGCTTTTAATTTTCTAAAGTGTGGAGAGCCGCCTAAAATAACCTAACTGAAACTTGATTAGATCAGTCGTATTCGCAAATACCAATTTAATATCCAACCAGTTTCTTATTTATTGAAAGGGATGACTATTCAACTTTTGGTCACAAGTTTTTCGAAGAATATGTACAGGACATGCATGGAATTGGTCACAGGATTACCCAACCATTTGTGGTTGCCATTTTCTCAAGTCTTAATAAGATGTCAAGTTCTGGAATATAATGGTCAATTATAATTATAAGTCTTTTATCCAACCAGAGCTCTATGGGTATCTTGAGAAATGGCTAAACTAGAAGAAGGAGAAACTTACAAGAAACCTCCATTTTCTCATTCTCCACTTTGCACACTTCATTCAGACCTAAGCACCCTCTAACACAATCACTTAATTATTTTTTTTTTCAATTTGTCTTGAGCAGACCCTAACTGAAGGAGGCACCTTTAAGTCCGTACAATACTCAGATGATTAATCCTCATTCGGACCGGTCCAGCCCAATTAAGGGATAAAGTGCTGGCCATATTGATTTTTCCATACAAGAAGAGATTCAAACTCTCGACCTCTCTTAAGGGACAAGAGTGCACGGCCACTCACGCCAACCAAGCTGGTTAACACAAGCAATTAATTAAACGTGTTTAGAGACTATTATGCAAAGAAAATGGGGTGTCATTTGCAAATTGCAATACAAGTAACAGAAATTAACAAGTCTAGTTGCCAATCAAACCTTCCTGGAAACTCTTATTGGCTTATCCAGTTGAAATAATCAAACATTAATCAAAAACTTGAGCTACGTACCAAATACTCAACTTATCATCTTCTTAATTATAGCCTCTTGTCTCCTTACCAGCACCAAATAAGTTGGGAAATTAAAAGTCCTAAGAGCCACTATGCATTGCCATGTTCTTTTTCTTCTATTGCTACAAGTGATTGGAGTTACAAGTAGACCTTTGCAGCAGAGTTTTAGAAAAGCGATTTCAGATGGCACTGATCACATTCAACAGAGTTCTTCGCTTATCCGTTTATACGGAGAGGATTCTTCTGCAGAGTTCTGCGAGCAAATGTATGGATTTCTTCCATGCTCTAACACTCTCCTAGGCCACCTCTTCCTTATCTTGGTTTACGAATATCTGTTATTCCATGGAGAATCCTATGTTGCTGCGGGAGGTGAACGGATATTCAAGATTCTTGGCCCCGGTGTCTTTGGTGCTAGTGCATTTCAGATTCTTGGATTCCTACCTGAGACTTTGATACTCCTAGGTATCTTGATTTCATCAAAAACATCTAAGTTTATCTTTAGGCTTTAAACTTGGAAGTTTTTGTCTAATATTTTTACTTCTTATTTTGTTTCCAGCATCAGGCCTCTTGAACAGTGAAGAGGTTGCCCAAGAATATGTCTTAACTGGAGTGGGATTGCTAGCTGGAACAACAATCTTGCTTCTCACCATCATTTGGGGAACTTGTGTAATTGTTGGGAATCAAGAATTAAGAAATGATACCCAATCTCAACTTCCATCCAATTCAGAAGACCGAAAACCCCATCTAGAGGCATTTCTATCACGATGGAAAGGTCAGACGAGTCAAACCACACTGAAATATTGAATCCAATCAATTAGTTAGTCTAACTCATGGCCTTATAAACCCAAATTGTGGTCTAAACTCCAAGTCATTGGTTTAAATTTCAGAGTTTTCTTGTTTTGGTTCTAGGTCCTGGTGTGGTCACAGATTTGGAGACATGCAAGACAGCAAGGATAATGGTATCCTCAGTGATACCTCTAGCAATCATGCTAATTCTAAGATTCCCTAGTTACTTTTCTTCATGGGAGCAACTAATAATCCTGATCTGTCTAGTTGTCTCTGTTGTGTTCCTGCTCCTTTACTTCTTCTACCAGGTATTCTATTCTTATACTGTGAGTTTGAGTTTCATGTATCCACCACGTTCACTACTGGAAATTATGGAATTTCCGACCACCTGAAAGTAATCTTAAATCAAGTCGAAAGCAAAAAGTGGTCGGAAATAGCAACAAAGGTTTTTCCGAATACCAAAAGTGGTCGGAACAAGGCTTCCAACTTGATTTAAGATCACTTTCAGGTGGTCGAAAAATTCATAATTTCCAGTAGTGGTTAGATAGAGGTCGTTGAAGGGCCAAGTCCAGCAATTGGTGGCTAAGGGGATCGGGGCGGAGGCCAGTGAAGGGCCAAATCCATCACTCTGCCTCTTGAAAATGTGGCGGTATATAAAGAAATAAAGTTCCGTCTTTGCTACGAGCTATAACTTTAGCACTTATCTTTCTGTATATTTTTACCTCTACAGATTTGTCAGCCATGGATCCAGAAAAGGAGATTAGAATATGTAAAGCATGAGCACCTGGTAGTGGACATACTCAAGCATTTGCAGAACCAAGCCATTGGGAAACTCCTTACAGAAGATGGCACCTTAAATGTACCTGCAATAAAAAAGCAAGTTTCCATTTTCTTTAAACTTTGAAGAAAATACTGGGAAGAATTCCCATACTGATGCTAACTTAAATTATTGCAGGTTATTCGACGAAATTGATCAAGACAACGATAGCTTTATATCGGTCCTCGAGCTGAAGGAACTTTTAAACAAAATCAGATCAAGGAAGTTAAGAGAGGACAAGGATCACATAACAGAAGAGATATGGGGGGATTTGGATCATGACTCTAATGGCAAGATAACCTTAGAAGAATTTGTGGATGGATTCACAAAATGGATAGATGAAACAAAGCAGGCAATGAATAAGCGGTATCACTCTACACGATCTTTAAAAGATTTATACGAGGTATATTACCTGGCTAGTCACCTGGAGAATATGAATTCCTAATTCAGAAACATTATAAATTGAAGTTAATGATATCTTAGTTCTTGTTTTGTTTGCTTTTCTTTTTCTTGCAGATTCTCAAACCTTGGATTCAAAAGAAAAAGGAAGAACATGAAAAAATGAAGCATATTATATCAGACATCCTTAAACATGTCCAAGATTCTGCTATAGGAAGCCTCTTGACAGAAGATAGGAAACCAGATACGAATGCCATAAAAAGGTGAAGGTTCTTTGATCAGATCAACACATTAAGCTTTGCTTAATTCTTTCTGATATTAACCTGTTAGTTTCTGCATCACATTACAGACTATTTGAAAGCATTGATAAAGATGGAAATAGGGTCATTACACGTTCTGAGCTGAAAGAACTGATAAATGGGATCAAGTTTGGGATAGTACCTTCAAATGCCGAAGAAACAGTTGACAAAATAATGGAAGAACTTGATGCAAGCGGAGATAAACTGATCAATGAGGATGAATTTGTTAATGGATTATGCAAATGGCTACATATTACCAACAAGCATGTTCCCAGTTCAGTGGAGTCCAAAGATGATGTCTATTACCAAGTAAGGAAAAGTATAATCTTTTTCTTAGCACATACCATTTTAATCTCAAATATTTGATCAAAACTTTCGTTACATAAATTTGCAGAAAAACTGGAAAACAATTGACAGGCTGCTAGAGAATCGCCTTGATGGGTCTACACTTGCCTGGACTAAGGCCATAATGCTTTTGGCTCTTGGAATAGCTATGCTAGGCCTTCTAGCAGAACCTCTTATACAGAGTGTACAGAATTTATCTGCAGCTGCAAATGTTCCTTCATTTTTCATATCGTTTATCTTAGTCCCTTTGGCTACAAATGCCAGAATTGGCATCTCAGCCATCAAAGAAGCCCGTCATAAGAAACAGAGAACTACATCCTTGACTTTTTCTGAGGTATGTCCAATTGCCTCCCTCCCATGAATTGTAAAACTAAAACCTGTATATCTCTACATGTAAATATTGAACGGTTGGGTTTCCTTTACTCTTGCAGATTTACGGTGGGGTATTCATGAACAATGTGTTAGGCTTCTGTGTTCTTCTTTCACTGATCTATTTTCGTGGATTATCATGGCATTTCTCAGCGGAAATACTGGTTTTGCTTATGGTTTGTGGCATAATGGGATGCCTTTCAAGTTTGAGCACCTTCTTCCCAGTTTGGACATCAGCCATTGCATACTTGCTTTATCCCTTGTCTTTGGTCTTGGTTTATGTTTTTGATGATTCTTTCAATTCTTTCTCTACCTATATGTAATCAAATGAATTTTGCATAAAAAAATAAAAACATTAGATTAGAACAGTTTGTTAATATACGGAAATAAAGTTTATGTTCCTCCTTCTCATTGTGTTTTCTACAAAAAATTTCCTTTGATTCCAAAGAATTCATATCAGCATTAAGTCATATGTGAGACCATCTCACAAGACTTATTCATGTTCTTTTGCTTCGCAACCGGAAATCATAAGAAGAAAAAGAAATTTATTAGAAACCAAAAAAAAAGAGAGCAAACACAGTTTCTTAACAGGAACTTGAGCTACATGATTGTGGAGATTTGATAACATGGTTGTTAGTTTGTAACCGCAATGCCTGAATGTTGGCTTCTTAAAAATGGAAGCTAGGCACATAAAGGAGATTGTTATGAAATTGTTTGGACTTCTCTCAACTGAACAGTCAGGCCTGCAACAAGAAGAATGGGTAACTGATGATTACCTTGTCCTCTATTAAATCTGCATTCCAATTCGAACAAACCGTTCTGGAACTGAATTGACACTCGGTGATCTTTCCGCAGAACGAGAGGGTAAAACCGTCAGAACATTCTCATTCAAGCTTTCTGATCTTTTCTTTTTTGCAAGAAGAAGCTGATCTTCAAGTGAAACTTCTTTTTTGATATTTTCTCTCTGCATGAACTCTATATCGAGTTTCTCCCAAGCTCGTTCATGCTGGTGGCTAACATGACTTGTCATAGATTTCTTCTTCTGGATCTGTTAACATACATTGATCAATTAGAAAACCAGAGAAGTATAGAACTAACTTGAAACAATTCTTTGCAATCTTGCGATAAAAAATAAAATAAAAATAAGAAAAGGAAGAAAGAACAAGAAGATAACACGATTTCATTAATTGTGCTAACTATGGGCAATGCATGCATTGCCTTATTTTTCCCCAAAAAGGATCATGCATATGTGGAACTCCATAATCATTCAAACTTATTATTTATACTGATCTTAGTAAGAACATCCTTGTCTCGATAATGGCAATTAATCATTCCATAACTTTTGGCCATTAGGGAAAAATGTACAGATTGGCAAATAGTTACCTTCATCAGTCTTGCTTTGAGTTTTGATTCCCGAGCAATGGCCAACTCTTCTCTCTCTTGCTTTGCCCTTCTTCTCCTTATCTTTATTTCTTCTCTAAGTTTTGCTCTCTCTTCCCTCTCTTTTTTTCTTTGAGCAAGCATTGCCATCTTTTCTATTTTTGCCTGTGCTGCTCTTTCAGCCCGTAAACGTGCCTGCTCTTTTGCCTTTGCTTTTTCTGCAGCCCGTTGGATCCGTTGAAGATATATTTCTCTCTTAATCTTGTCATAGCTATCCCATTCTAGTTCCCCTTGGTCACCGCCTCCCTTCTTAGCAGCTTCTGCAATGCTTTCGGCCCAGGATTGCAAGAATTTCTCCCTCGACCTTATCCATTTTAATCGTTCACCCCACAGCTTTCTTTGTGATATGCCTATTCTCATCTTTGTCTGCTTGCTGAAAATTAGAGTTTCAACCCGAATTTCAATCTAAGCTTGGAAGTATCACAATTCTAATTCCATACAATCAACGCCAAATTCAAAGATTTGGATTTACAAATGAGGCAATGATCATGATATAGTTAAATAACTAAAATTGGCTTACATCAAGGATATGAAATTAAATTTAGAAGTCAATTCTATTATCATGGAACATTTTGAACGCCTCCTGCATTTTTACCACTTATAAGAAAGTACTTCGTAATAAGAAAAATACCTAAGAGATCGAGGGCATTCTGACATCTTCTTCCTAATCTGAAAAAAAAAAAAAGAAAATAATAATAATTAGAAAAGACCAGAGAGAGAAACAGCTCAACATATAAGAATACAAATTGAAGAAGGAGCAGATGATGCATAAAGAATAAACTAAAATTATCATGCCTGTCCATCCTGCTTTTGATGCAATGAGAAAAAAAAATGGTCTACATAAGAAAGACTGAATCTTACATGACTTCACCTTGGGGTCAGAAAGCGCTTCTCTGGTTCTCAGGCTGATTTTTTCACGTGTCTCTGCAAAGATATCGTGGTGCAATTAGACATGCCAAACCTTCACATTACCACAGAAGTAAACTGCAACTCGAGCCTACCTGCACTGTGTGTTACGCCTTTGTTCCATGGCACTTTTCCTTTGTTCCCATGTCCAATCTTTTTTCTTCTTTGTAATTCTTCATCATCCTTGCAGTCGTCTTCTGGAAGCTCTACAATGGAAGATTGCTCCTCAGAGAAACCAGTGGCATTCCATTTTGTCTGGCATCTAATAGATATCTCTCCTAGACTAATGCTACGGTAGCATGCCCCGTTTAAGTCTCGCCCATTGAATGAAACAGAAAAGCAAAGGAACGGGGAATTGTTCCTCGAGGAATATGGAATCAGATTTGTGCTCAGTTTCGGCTGTGTCTGTGTGCACTCAACCATAAGACTGGAAGCTTGCAAGCGAAAGGGGTTAAGCATTGAACTAAAAGGAAGGTAAATGATAGGTAGTTAGTTCCCTGAAAGCAAAGAAACATATAACTCAGAACAACATAAGAAAAAGAAAATTGTTTTCTTTGCATGTCCTGACCTTAAAAAGCATAATGCTCTTCTCGGTTACAAATTGCAAAGAGTGCTTTCACATCTCTATACTAAATTGATCAGCACTTCAGTTATGAATCAAATAATAAACAGTGGCCCTGTTTGGTAACAGGGTTAGCTTATCAACCAATTTTGGCTTATTTGACTACTATTAGTAGTTTGATTTGGTAAACATTCACTATAAGTGTTTGATTAATTAGCTTTTTGTAACAGTTTATTGCTCCAAAATGCTAAAATTCAAAAAGCTGCTCAAAATAGCTTTTTCGATAAGCTTTTTGAGAAGATCATTTTGCATGTAAGCAGCTAACAGTTAATTTACCAAAATCTTTCTACAATCAACTAATAAAGCCACTAACCCAATCAGCTCTCGCCCATTTACCAAACACCCCCAGTATCACATCTTGAAAAGTGTATATCAATTATTGAAGTATGTTGTTCAGTTTCAACTTCTAAACTAAACCATGAACAGTGAACACAGTTATTAGAGCAAAATATACCAAATCCTACACCTGCCCATAGGCAAACATGCAAAATGCACTTAAGCTGGGCAAAGCAACACTAAAGAAAATATCCCATTTCAGCAACATTTTCAAATTTCCATTTCGAATACCCAATAAAGCATTCTTATGAACAGCATTGGTGGCTTACTATCAGTTCATTTTAACGAGGGATGGGGAAACTACGTAATGCTATTTACAGTCTGGGGAAAATCAAATAAAACATTCAAAAATTAATCTTTTACTGGAATTACGCGATGGGGCGGATGAATTGCTAAGAATTGAACTTTTAAAAAAAATGAAATGGAAGATTTTGTGAATGAAAACTATAGAGCAACCTTGAATTCCTATCAATACCCTTACCCAATTTTCAATGTAAAACACAAATACATACAGATAGAGTGAGCGATGTGGAGTTGAGGTTGGGGAGAGAGAGAGAGAGCTTACAGGTGAGAGAAGAGCATTGCAATTTGCAAATGGCAAATCTATGTATGAGGGCGGAGCCGTTAGTTTCACCTTAAGCTAAGTCGCTAAGTCGGTATTGCTGACTGCTGAGCGCCTGAGCCCTGAGCGAGTGTTATTCTACACGCTCTGGTCTTGTTCCTTTTATCTACTTCCCTTTAAAAAATAATAATAATAATAATCAAATTAAATTATAGTTTATTTGTTTTATTTTATCTGTTCTACTTACTATTTATTGATCAAATCAACTTTTTTTTTCATGTTTATTTTCTTTAGTATTTTTACTTTTTTTTAATTTTTTTTTTGTTGTATTTAATAGTATTTTTAGTGTAGTTTCTAAATATATAAATTTTGCATACTAATAATAAACTTAATATAATGCAAAAAAATAAATTAAAAATGACATCAGTCAAGCCCCATTAATCAAACAAGACACAAAAATGGGACAGGAATGATAGCAATTTATTTTACAATTAGCTGTAAAAATATCTATATCTATATGCTAATATAAAACTAGCAAGTGGACTTCCAAAAAAACACTCCATTTTGTGCTTATCGAGTTGTTTGTACTTTGAACTTTGATGGTGTTCTATTAAAATTTGAGAGAGAGGTGTGACGGAACTCAAAATCTACAGTGACTAAAAGGGAATTATAGAATGGATGAAAGGTGTCACAATGTCTAGGGGATTTTTTAGGAGTATCATCGACAAGTGCATATAGCTACTGAGCTTATGCTGGATATTGTGGGATAGTTATGCTGTGCATCCGTATGCATACGGATGCCAAAACGACGTCGTTTTATTAAAAACGTGCGTCTCCCCTTTAAAAAAAATTCAGGTTCGATTCCCAGCAACAACATTATATTATTCATTCATTCTGGAATTTTAGTTCATAGATTATGGAATTATAGTTCATTGATTATGGAATGAGTTAATATCCAAAATGGTCCCTTGACTATGTCATAATTATCAATTTGGTCCTCAACTATCATTCTTACCCAATTAAGTCCTCAACTATGTAACTTTTACTCAATTAAGTCCTCAACTATACAATTCTTACCCTATTTAGTCCTCAACTATACAATTCTTACCCAATTTAGTCCTCTGTATTAATTTGACTGTTTGTTGACTGTCAAAAGTCGGGATAAAATTATAATTTTACAAGATTTCTCCTTCATCTCCATTTAGCAGCGCCAAACCATGCAGCAATACACTCCGATCAGATTTCGATCGTCAAAAAATCGTTGGAAATCAAATTCATGGGCTATCCGATGCACAACCACTACTTCGATACTGACAGGTTTAGAACCCAAACGGAACTTATTGTTATATGGTTTGGCGCTGCTAAATGAGGAGGAAGGAGAAAACTTGTAAAATTACAACTTTATTTCCACTTTTGACAGTCAACAAACAGTCAAATTGACAAATGACTAAATTGGGTAAAAATTGTATAGTTGAGGACTTAATTGGGTAAGAATAATAGTCAAGGACCAAATTGGTAATTACGACATAGTCGAGGGACTATTTTGAGTATTAACTCTTATGGAATTATAGTTCATCGATTATGGAATTGTAGTTCATCGATTCTGAAATTTTAGTTTATAGATTATGGAATTTTAGTTCATTAATTCTGGAATTTTTAGTTCATAGTTAGATTATGGAATTATAGTTCATCGATTATGGAATTTTAGTTCATATGTTATTGCTGGAAATCGAACCTGATTTTTTTTTTTAAAGGGGAGACGCGCGTTTTATTAAAACGACGTCGTTTTTGCATCCGTATGCACCATGCATGGTGCATACGGATGCACAACATAATTTGTCCGATATTGTGGATGTGAGGTGGTCGTGCAGAATAAAAGTGCTAAATATAGGCAATGGGGCCCTTCCCTTATTTGGACCCAAAATAAAATAAAAAATTAGTTCATAATTTTCTTTACCATCCCTTAACAAGCTGACTAGCTTTCCAAATTGACCAAAATCTCATAATGCCAATTACAGAGGTTCTCTATTATAACTAAGTTAATTTTATTATTGTTTCTTCTACTATCATATTCTCATGGCATCCCAAAACCAAAAAATCAATCAACCAACCACCTCCATGCATCCCCCTCCCACTATTCTCACCGTACTAGCGTCGTCCAACTCACTGGCTACCCAGGCAACAGGCGAAGAAGCTATGCTGGATGGATTAAGCTTATTGACTGGTCATATAAATGGCTCCCTAGATCGCCCATCCAGCCACGCCGACCAATCTGGTAGCTCTTTAGCAACCGCATGCCTCCAACCCCTTGCCTCACCAGCCGGTCGCGACACTCGTTAATCTCCCTTTGTACCCATAATCACTTTTCGCCTTCCTTAACTTACTTCTACCACCCCTATCATCGTTGGTCAACCCCATACCCCCTCAGCAAGCCAGTACCGTCCCATGATTAGCGCAAACCTCCCTTAACATGTACTCATTATATACCGCTCGCTAACCTTTTTGCCTTGATAATCGTTTTCTCAATTTACTAATTCATCCAATTTTCAATAAATTTTCTTACAAAACTAGAGTTTTCAATAAATTTTCTTACAAACTAGACGCTCCACTTATTACCTAACCCTCATTGTTATTGACCTAGACCCAGGGAATTGGCAAATCACCAACTAAACCCTAAAACCTTACACCATTTTAAAAGTTATATGGCATGCTAAATTAACTATTAGATAAGTTATAAATTTATTTATCAATAGAAAAATATAAAATTCCACAAATTTTACTTGGTTGATGTTGCAATTATATATGTTTTAATTTAATTTAATAATGTAATGACACCCACTTAATAAGTGTAATGATTTATTTGATTTGTTTTAAAAAATTATAGGAGAAAGTAAAACTATTCTTGTAAAAAGTTAAGAGAAAGCCATGCCAATCACAATCCACAGTCTCTGGGCAATCCGCCAACCCCAATCGTCACCTTTGCGAAGTATCAAACCCTTTCTTTGTTAGGGTTAGGGTTTTAAATTCAAGCTATTTAAGGATATTACTTGATTAAGCTTCTCTGAAGATCCTCGTTCCTCAATTCTCAGCAATGGACTTCATGAAAAAACGGAAGCTCGAAGACAACGGCGTTGTTTCTGACCCCTCCTTTCTCCCCAGGCTGTCGCTCGAAGACGCGCGCAAAATCCTCGAATCCTTCACGCGCGACCAGCTCTTCGAGATCGTCCAGAACGCAGTTGTTCGTCACCCTGACGTCCTCGGCGCCGTCCGTTCAATTGCCGACCAAGACACGACGCAGCGGAAGCTTTTCATTCGCGGCCTCGGTTGGGAAACTACCACCGATAAGCTTCGTTCCCTTTTCTCCACCTACGGCGAGCTTGAGGAGGCCGTGGTAATCCTCGATAAGGCTACTGGAAAGAGTAAAGGTTACGGCTTTATCACCTTTAAACATATTGATGGAGCCCTGCTTGCTCTAAAGGAACCCAGTAAGCAAATTGATGGTCGAATGACTGTCACACAGCTGGCAGCTGCCGGTATGCAGGGTGGGCCTGGAGGTGGGAGCTCGAATAATCCTGTGGATATATCATTGAGGAAGATATATGTGGGGAATGTGCCTTATGATATGCCCACGGAGAGATTGTTGCAGCAGTTCTCAATGTATGGGGAGATAGAGGAAGGGCCACTAGGATTTGATAAGGTGACCGGTAAGTCTAAAGGGTATGCTCTATTCGTGTACAAGACAGCAGAGGCTGCAAGGGCATCTATAATGGAACCTGTTAAGAATATTGATGGGAAGCAGTTAAACTGTAAGCTGGCAATTGATGGTAAGAAAGGGAAATCTGGGCCTTCAGGCCCAGGAGGAGCTCAGGGTCCAAGGGAGGGGTTTGGTAATGATATTGGTTTGGGAATGCAGAATGGCATAGGGGCACAATATGGAGGCCCGGGAGGAATTCATTCGGGTGCCGGAGCGTTCTCTGGAGCTATGGCAACATTGGGTGGTGTAAGTGGCAGTGGTGTTAACTTGAATGGTCCGGGATTGCCATCCATTGGGAATCAAGCTGGAGTGTCCCCTATGGTTGGTGGTGGTTCTGGTCCTTACAACAGGTCACATTTTAGCATTGGTGGTTCAACTGGATATGCTGGCTTTAGTGCATCAACTGGTGGTTTAGGTGGAGTCACGAATGGATATGGAGCCCCCGGTGCTGGTAGTGGATTACCTAGTGTTGGTGGTGGATTAGGTGCTGCCACTGGCCGTGGCCCGTCTTCATATGCATTACCCCAAAGCTCAGCTGGCATGCCTTCAGGAGATTATCATTCACAAGGTATGCATTACAATATGCCTTCCTCTGGAAATCAAAACCGACAGAATCAACAAGCTGGAGCATCACCAGTGCCTAGAGTTATGCATGGGGGCATGTACCAAGGGATGCCTTCTTACTATTGAGGTAATTTTCCTTCGATGCCCACCTTGTTTTATCAACTCCACTTCTCGAATAGTTCTCTGCTTGTTGGTACTTGAATTGATATCTTTCTCCTTTCCTTTTGTTGTTCATTGGACTTTGCCTGTTCTTTGAATGGATGTGCTTACTCACAGATTCTCCTGATTGATGATTATGCTCTTTATGATGTGTGCTTGTTTCAGATTCTGCATTTTTTGTTTGCATTTTACTTAAAAAGTGATTTGCTGATTTGCTTTTTGTTTTTTGTTTGTGTGTGTGTGTGTGTGTGAAGGCGGTCTATGCAATTTGTTTTGTTGTTTTGTGGGTGAAAGTTTACATAGAAAATCAATCTGTTTCTTTTGTATATTAATTCCTATTATATTTAGTGACCACACTGCTTTGCTACAAAATGCCAATGGTTATATTAAAGATGCGTTTTGAAGTTACATTTATATTGTGAAGATTGTGTTAGTGTTCTTTAAAATCCATATCAGCGTTGAAGTTGGTAAATGGATTTAATCTGTTTATCCTTGCAGATATTGAAATACGGTAAAGCAGGAGTGATGGTTGCCTTCATATATTACTTGGTCTCTGTATGTTCTGTGCTCCTATTTTTCATTTTTGTTTTGTTTTGTGTTGTGTTGTGTTGTGTTGTGGGGACTATTATTAAGTGCTAGTTTTGTACTTGGATTCCACTGCGTTGATCATTTTCTTATAAACTTCAATATGTCAAGCAATGGTTCTTGGTCATAGACTCATAGTAGTCTACTACTTTACCGTTGTGAAAACAGCAGTTGTGAGAAACGATGATTAAATTGTCTGGTAGCTTGATTTTCATTAACTAATGTCCTTAATTATTAATATCAAATACTATATATTAGTTGTATGTTTTGCCTGCAATGTTTCTAAAGTTTACATTATGTCAGCATTTGCAATGTTTTTTTGTTTTGTTTTGCGGTTGGTTGTTTGAATGATTCATTAAGCTGCGAATGGATGTTTGACTCAGGTTTGACAGCTTGTTGGCGCAATTGATTTTATTGGTTCTGGCGTGAATGCTGGCAATTTGATATCTGCCTTGATGATTTTCATTTGCCGTGTACTTTGGCCTCATCTTCACTTCATCTGTGATCCTTTGTAATTGGTGGTATTAGAAGTGACTATAGAATAGTATTTCTCCTTTCCGAAACTGTCTTTCACAGTTTTACTTTATTGTAATTACATTTTTATGGATTTTGTCTTTTAGATACTTTGTCATCTTTTGATTTTCTACTGAAGCTGGTGCTTCTCTTTTTCTTTCTTTAATTGCTGGAGCATGTTTTTCTTTACACTTTAACTCAACGTTTATATTTTTCTGGGGATTAATAAGAACAATTGCCTTGTATTCTTCCATAGTGTGAAGAATTGCGCATGACAAATGTGCAGATATCTTTCTGTCTATGCTTTTCAATCTATCTATTCAGTATCTGATGACTTGAAATGTGAAGCCTAAAAATACTTTGTTTATTAGATTTCTGTTTGTGTTTAAGTTCAACATTAACTTTAAATTGAAATCATTGTTCTTGCATCATTCTGCCTAGCTTGTGCATGAACAAGCTTAATATCTTAATCAAGTGTTAGGTTTTGTAGAGAACTTAGGTTTCCTAAACAGGAGGAAGAATGTGATGTATCAAACAAATTGGGAGCGTGAACCAACCTTCTTTTTGCTCCCAAAATAATTTGATACTTGGATGAGAGTCTCGTTATTTTTCTCTCTTGTATATCTTGTGAAAATCCTACAATTATGTGCTTATATTATATATATATATGATATGATGTGATAATGATAATGATAATTGTGTCTTTAGGTCTACTCAAGTGGTCACATTTTGTTTTTAGATCTTTGAAAATAAAGATGGTTGGGGAGGACCCAAATAAAGAATGGTTTCTTTAAATGGAGAATTTACTTGAAATTGGTTGAATATTCATTTCTGTATATGGTTATGGATCATGAGGAACACTTTAACCAACTATAGAAAATCCAATCACTGACTAATCAAAACCTCTGATGACTGATGAGGCAGAATCCTGCATTTCTGTGCATTTTTTGTTAAAATTTGTACTTGGTTGAAATTTCAAACGGTACATGATGGATTACTAGGCAATCAATAAGACATTGTATATTTGTATTTCTTGTAGATAAATGTTCCTATGCCTAAATGTCTGTCCTTCCTAATGTAGTAATGTTATGCATGACTATTGACTAATTTGACATGTTTTACATTTTGCACCATCATTTGCTAGTTGAAATGTACTGTTTGCTACATGTTTGTGTTATGATTGCTGTTCCTTAAGAAAGTTACCCACTATGAGATAGAAACTTAATTTAAAAGTTTTGGCAATAAGGAAGCAATAAAATAAATTGAAATGGTGCATTATTTTTATGGTCTTCAAACATTGTTGTTAAGGCGTTGCCTAGGCATTCGTCGGCGGAGACCGGTTGAGCTTAGGGATAAAACTTACTTGGATTGAGAATGAATGTGATTGTTGAGTAACTATGAGCAGTGGGTTTCTGAAGTACTTTCATATTCCCTGACCATTATAACAATGTGCAGTGGTAAATGGAGGTATGAGACAGTTTTGGTTTGTAGATGCTTTGTATTTGTTTTCCACTTCTCTGACCCAGTCGTTCAGGATTTTTATTTAAATTGTACCCCTTTATAATGGCATTTTTTTTAGATCTGGGTTTATGCCTTAAACCAATGAGAATGAAGTGGATGATTGCAGTGTTAATTAACATGTTTACTTCTCTACAAATTTTATTGTCTTATTAAATTTGATTGCTGAAAATTGTTGTTTGATTTTTGTGACCTTGAAGTGAATTTTTTCTTCTTTTCTTTGTTCCATCCCAAGTGTTTTTCTTTCTTCTGGTTGCTGCTCATAAATAATGATACTGAATTTGCATGAATAAGATACTTGGCTGATAGGTTTAGTGCTAAGATGATGGTACAATTATATAGAAAAGAAACTAGTGGGTACTATTGTACTAGTAGCAGTTTTTTAGAGTGCCTAGAGTGCCTATTACATTTGGCATACTGTGATTGTGACAATCAGCCAACTGTGATGCTCCTTTAGATTGTGTTATATGGTTGTGAACTGTCATTTTCTGTTCTCATTTTTGTGTTTTGTGGTGGACTGGTGGCTATGTTTATGGTGGTAGGAGTTGCAGTCCTGCTTTGCTACTGACTATATCATGGTTCTAGAACGTTGTTGATTAAGAGAAGTGCTTTGTGGCACTATTTAGGCCTACATACTTGAATAATGTGCCTTTGCTTGACTATGGTTGAGATTTCAGTATGTCTTAATGTCTTATTGGATTGCATTCCTAGATGTTTAAATGCGTATGTTCATTTGATACTTTGGTATAATTGGTTATTGAAATATTATACACGCCTATACGGAGTAATAGTGTGTGCTGTTGGTTGTATTTGGTGTTGAGAATTTGTAATTGTAGTGTTGGAATAATTGTTTCAAACAAAAAGCTATTAGAGAAGTTGAATTTGTGATTACTAATATGCGGTTCATTTGATAAAACATAGGATTATGGATAACAAACAATTCATAATTTGCTCTAATTTGCTTGTGGATTATTAGTAAGCTGTATACCGTTCACATAATTCAAAATATTTGCCATTTAATCTAATAACAATTGATGATCCATGAAATAAGTTTTGTAGGTGTTTGACATTTAGCGGATAGTTGATAGTTGGGTTGACCAGCGATTAGACTTAGTGGTTTGTAGGAAGATGTTTGGTAAATTGGTTGCCGGTAAAATGTAAAATGACTTGTAAAGACATGAACCTATTGCTTTATTTATTTAACTATCTTTTAATTATTTTTAGTTTTAGATATACATTTCAAAATATTTTAATTTTTAAAATTATTATTATTATTACCCTAGTTATTAGTTATTACGGAGTATTATTTATATTATTTATTTATTTATTTATTATTTATATTATTGTTTTGACTATTATTTTTATTTTTAATTTTTAATTCATTAATTAATGATGTCATGATTATAAAGAAGACATCTGAGCTTTTTAGGGGCAAATAGAATCTTTAAAATCTTTAAAATAAAATAAAAATGCAACAAGCTAAACCAAACTGTTATTTACCAAACGCCCATTTTAGCTACTTAGTTTTGGTCAAAACACCTAAAGTTGATTTGAGTTGGTCAAATAAGTTTTTGATTGATCAGTTTTTTATCATTTAAAACGGGCCATCTAGTGCACTGACTTCTTAATTAAGATTATATGATGTTCTAGATTGGGGTGTCCCCCCTCCCATAGATGATAGATGAACATCTATTGCCCATAGCAGGGATTAGGACAAAATCTCCTAAGTCAAAGAAGAAGAAATTGAGTGTCAGGAACACCCTATTACTTGGGTCAAAAAAAGTAACTGGCGGTGGTGGTCGGCAAGTACCCACCTCCAGTGATCAATGTTGATGGGATGCTGGAACGTGAGGGGTTTGAATCAACCCCTCAAAATGAAGGAAGTCTGGGACTTCAATAAGAATACCAAACTTTCTGTCTGTGCGTTACTGGAAACCAAACTCACGAACGAATGAGAGGGCATCCAAATTTGTCTCTAACCGCGGGAATGACTGGCTTTTCTCTATGAATTTTCATGAGGTGAAAGGGGGTCGAATTCTAATCACTTGGAACCCTGCCTTAGTTGACTGTATTATCTTGAAAACTGACCCTCAGTTTATCCATTGTTTATGCACTTTTGGGAGGGTCAGTTTTCAAGATAATACAGTCAACTAAGGCAGGGTTCCAAGTGATTAGAATTCGGCCCCCTTTCACCTCATGAAAATTCGTAGAGAAGAGCCAACCATTCCCGCGGTTAGAGACAAATTTTGATGCCCTCTCATTCGTGAGTTTGGTTTCCAGTAACGCACAGACAAAAAGTTTGTTGTTCTTAATGAAGTCCCAGACTTCCTTCATTTTGAGGGGTTGATTCAAACCCCTCACGTTCCAGCATCCCATCAACATTGATCACTGGAGGTGGGTACTTGCCGACCACCGCCGCCTGTTACTTGGGTCCAAGTAACATGGTGTTCTTGACACTCTATTTCTTCTTCTTCTTCTTTGACTTAGGAGATTTTTTCCTAATCCCTGCTATGGGCAATAGATTAGTTAGCTACATATTCAACTCTAGTTAGTGGGACTGTGGGAGTTTGTATCACATGTTAATGACATTTTGGTGTCATTTGTAGAAATTTACGGTGGCAATGACCATTTAATGAGGTCAATAGGTGACAGGCAGTAGGTCTCCTGAAGTGCTCTTAACAAGTGATGCCTCATGATGCACTACATTTTTTCCTAATTATTTATCTAATAGCTAGGGTTTTGTTTGCTATTAATGCAGAGTTTAGTGTCCAAAGGTTGCTGAATCAAGAAACAAATCAACGGGTAACAGAACTTAGCATTTTTACATAGTTCTGTGGCTGGTGTGCTTTCAGCCTTATTTGATTTCTCTAAATACTGAGTGTCTTTGTCAATAAACTTCATCCACAACTTCATCTTTTACTAAGATGCCCTTCGTTGAAGCCAAAAATAATTGGCGATTCTTTTGAGATTTAGTGTTGCTGTGAGCTTTACTCTGTGCAGTTATAGTTTTGATCTTAAAGGCTAAATTTAAGGGCGCCTAAGTTGTAAAATAAATGAAATTTCTGATTTATCCTACAATCAATCAGTGTTTACGATAATCTTGTAACAAAATTGCATAGAAAATCTCGTTCCATGTATCTGGAACTCCAGGTAAGCACCAGTGGATGCAGTCTGCAAAATTTTTGGGGTCTGATCTCTGTTCTTTTGTCAACAGCTTTCCTTTTCGTTCTCCAAAGATTGATGTATGCCCATCTTTGCGGTACTCAGACAACTGGGTGATGTTTAGCAGTCTTATGTTAACTTGTAGCTTTTCTGTAACCTCTTTCACTATTCCCATGATCTCAAGATTTGAACCGGTTCCCCAATATGGCCCTTCAATTGGGTGTGTCTCATCGAAGCAGTTCCCATCACTTCCAGCCTTCCATTCCCAGTCCCTGAAATATATGTTTGAATACTTTGTTTTCTTCACAATTGTTTGTTCAGATGATACGTAAAGCCAAAGATAGTAAATGTGAGTCGTGTCTAGTCAACAATTGTTTGCTTATGTGATACATAAAGCCGAAGATAGTCAATGTGAGTCGAGTCTAGTGAACAATTGTTTGTTTATATGATACATAAAACCGAATACCTACCAGAGATGTGTAGGGGACATGGTGACAAAGAAAACCTTCTGCCTTCGAGGATTGATGCTGGACTCTATCCAGTTTGCCCATGTTTCTAATGCCAATCTATATGCAGTGGTCACGTTATATTCTCGGACATTATCTGGAGATCCATACCTAGTGGAAAATGGTGGAAATTCTCAGATGAATGAGTTGAAAATTTTATATACTAAGTTTTGACAAGATTGAGATTAAGGTTTTTTTGAGGATACTTACGTAGCATTAATGAAGGGTTTGTACATCCACCAAACATAGCTTTCAAACAACAATATATCTGCTCCTTCCCATTGCTTGCTATGCTTTTCGATAGAGTCCAGCTTGACCATTCTTTTCATCACAGTATGGTTTGTTGCATGGTCTGAGATGGACTCTATTATGAACGGAGCCCAGTAATATTCTATTGTTGCATTGTAATCCTGCAGAATTTAACTTGTTTTTAACCAAAAAATAGTTGGTACATGTCAATTATAGGAAGATCATGACCTTTATTATTGTTAACATTGATCTCACCGTAAAGTTTATCATACCTCAATAGCGAAAATCTTTCTAGGGGGCACCCTTTGAAGAGATTTCCTTCCATCGGGGATGGCAGACTGAACTAGACAGACCATTGACTCGAACATTCCTCTCTGTAATGAGTCTCCTACAAACATTAGCCTTTTGTCCCTCAGCATCTCCAACATCTTCAATGCATTATACCTGAAAAAGAATTGTATTGTATAGTAGCACCTCAGAACTAAGCCATCAAGATATGGAGAAAAATAATTTGTACTGAAATTTGTTGAAATTCTTGGCTGAACTGAGCACTATGAATGATTCTAGTATATGTTGAACTAGAGTTTGCTATTAACATCTGTAAGATAGGTATATCCGAAAAACTATTAGCTCTAATCATCTGAAAGTTTATATTCAATCTTGTGTGTGCCAGGTTTGCCTAAAAATTCATCTAACTTGCCAACCTTGAAAACCCGAGTTTTTGTCCATATATCTCCCCTTGTGCAGGTGAAGTTTAGTACCTTGGTAGTTTGCAACCGTTAGGTTGCCATCTCCAGTTCTGATAGAAGGAATCGGGCCTGCCATTTCTTTGGCAAGTGACTTGTTTCACCAAATAGGGACAGCCTTCTTCGGTGTAAAGAGGATAGCTCACATTGTCCCACACCCATTTCCCTTCAAACACATTGCACCCATCTTCAATAATCTCATCTGCAGACACATTTATAGGCACCCTGAGAAACCTGCTTTGTGAAAAAACGGATTGCCAGAGGAGCTGAAACTGGTTGCTCTTGAGGTTGTCGAGGTAGAACCGAACAGCTCCAAGCACAAGGAGAGAAGCCAATGCGGCTGAGAAGAGGAATTGGATCCTGTGATCCTGTGAAAACCGAGTTGATGTCATTGAGAGCTGGGGTGACCAAAGCATTGGCCATGTTCAAAGTTTTTTTATGCTTGTTGTCCATGTTTTGGAAGGAGGGAGAACAAGGACTTGTCTTATGTTTTAAGCATATATGTGAAGTTTGGTATGTAACTACTGGTTGGTAAACCTTTGATTAACCACCAATAAGTTGGCTCTGATGTGACTTTTAGTATGCCAAAAGTAATATTTGTAATAAAATAATCATTTATGGCAGGTACCATAAGAGAGACATCGGTGTGTGAGAGAACAAAATTGAGAGTTTATTGATTATCATAATATATAAAATGTGTATTGTTATTGTACTAAATGAAAATATATGTAATTTTCAGTTCAAAGGTGACAAACATAATATTTAGACAATATTGAAGAGATGCAATAGTTATTGCGTGGACCACAGTTCAAAAATGATGTCGTTTTACTTATTTTTTTTATACGCTCAGTTGTAACATACATTTTTATAATTCATAATGTAATTTATTTTAAAACATAATGTACATTATTTTAAAACATAATGTGCATTATTTTTATTTATAATATTCACGACGATGTTTTTGGATTGTGGTCCACACAGCTGGGTGGATCACAGTCCACAAAATAAAAACATGTTGAATTGCTTCATGGGTTAGCTCATTTGGTTTGATTAATCATTCTAAAGTCTTGCTCCAGTTGTTGTGTTGTGGTTTGGATTTCACTAGGAACTTGGAAAATATTGAGAGACCTTGACTGATTAGTGGTGATAAAGATTCTTAGTATGCAGTGTGAATAGACAAAGGGTGAGAACCTGAGAATTGACGGAATGACTCGTGATTTATCTTTTCTAGCGACTCTTAATTAGGGGTTTTGAGTGTTTAGGATTAGTCTAGCATAAATTGAAAAATTAATGTATAAAAAACTGCTGAATTGCAGGAGGCCTGCCGGACAGTAAGGCAGCCAACTGGCCAAGAGCAATGTTGATCATCGGAGTCTTATCACCCTATTTTAAAAATAATACATAGCTAGATTAATAGTTATGATCGTTTTGTGTTGGTTTGCATTCAATTTTTCAAACTAGAAAATAAGTGTAAACATTAGAAATTTGGAATGGATAATATAAAATCTTAATTTAATTGCACTTGTAAGAGTTTAAAGTCCGATCCTAATCTAATAGCACTTGCAGTTTTTTGAGGTATTATATTCTGCTTTGGTCTCTTCTTCCTTGTCTGTGTTGGCCTCCTGCCCTCTCCATTCTGCACCTGTAAGCTATCGTAAATGAATAAGCGTTACTAAGAAGAGTAAGTAGACTTATATATAGAATCGGAATAAAATAAGAATTAGGCTTCTCAAGAAAAGTGTGAACTAATCTGAACCGTCTATTTAGGATAACCAATGACTAGAAAATAAGAAAAAAAAATTGGATGAGGATCAAGGAGAAAACTAAGAAACAATTGCATTTGCCCATTTAGGTAGATCTAATGACTCTTAAAGCAAGGAGAGAAAAAAAATATTGTGACATTTTTATAAATTTTTTCTAACTTTAAAGTGCAATTTACAACACTATACAACATTACAATGCTCTTTGTAACACTATAGAGTGCATTCATTTTTTATTTTTTTTTGTTTGTACGACGGAGGGATCGAAAGGTCACAGGATTAGTAGATTCTTCTAATAGCAATACTTCTAGCATCTTTTTCCAACAAGATCTTGATGATGCTTTCTAGGGATTGATAATCCATAATTATTGTCCCCCACTCACTGGTTTGCTCCAAGTTGACTAGGTAGTCCGCACATTGGTTACCTTCTCACATGACATGGATGATGTCAATATCTCTTATTTGACTCATGTTGGCTTTACAATTAGCGATCAAAGTATCAACTTCCAAGCTATCATGTATTAGACCATGTTATCTATTAAACAAAGTGGTTATGTTAATCTAGGTTTTTTCCCTAATATATTGAATCGGTTTCAGAATGGATTCATGTATCCTTCTTCTCCCAAAAGGTTGAATCTTCAACCCGACAAAGGATTTTGGAAGATGTATGGTGACTCAATAGCTCAACAAATAGGATCAAATGCTGTGTGTACAAGGGATTTGCTCATTTTAGACATAATCCGATCCCACACTGCCACTATCGAAGTTCAAACCTTGTCTCTTATCTCAAATACGACCTACTGAACTAGTAAGTTAAGTCCGTATTGGTCAGGATTCATGTACCCTATGGATAGTGTTAAATGATTTGCGATAATATTTAATTAGGTTTAGGATGAGTTTATAAATTTTTTATGTAAAAACATTTTTGCAACATAATCTCTACAAATTTCTATGCAACTTAACTTGAAATAGTTGGTTGCAATTGGTTAATGGTTATATTAAGGGCTAACTATACAAATAAAAATAGCAAAAGCAATAAAGAGATGTCTTTAATTTCTAAGATCCACTTTTATATTAGTTGAGATAAGCTCCACTCTTCTCTTTACATATCCTATTCTCATTGTGGGCAACAAGAATATGATACATGTAAAGAGAAGAGTGAAGAACTTGGGGAGCCCCAAATAATAAAAGTAGAGAATATGCTTGCCTTTATCTATAGAATATGCTTTTGGGTAAAAATATTAACTTTTTAATAATTTTAATCTTTTGTTCAAATATCTACTAATCTACTAAATTTAATAAGAGCAATACAATTAGGCCTATAACAATAATTAAAAATATTAGTCGAATTGTTTGTTGATATGAATGGTTCATATTATTTTAATTTTAATATATTTTTTTTACTTTTCATACTTTACCCTGTATTATAACATTTACTTTTTTTTTTTTTAAGTACCCCTACATTCCGTCAGTGTAAACTTTAGTAATAAAAATTTCGTCAATTATTTATTATTCTTAACCAGGGATCGAGTCTCACCAGCGGCAGTGTGGGAGCAACCTCTCAAAGTGAGGGGGCTTCTTGTGCGCAGTGAGCACCGGTCTAGCCTCTATGGTTCATGTTCAATTGAGTCACCATGATTTACATCCTCCCAAATGCTCTGTCGGGCCGGGTTGGGGTTCAGCCTTTTGGAATAATTATTTATTATTCTTAACTTACTCATTGATTTTCATTAAAAAATGTATTAGGTTCGAACCTCATCCCAATAAGAGTTGACATAATTGTTTTGAAAATATACATTGAATATGTTAGAGTGTATTACAAATAAGGAACCTTGAAAATCATTTTCTTGCATTTAAAAAAAAAATAGGTTAAGTTTTTTTTTCTTTTTTTATTCATTTAATTAATCTTCTTTTGATTATTTAGAACAATACTCAATATTTTAATTATACTTTTACATTATTGTCAATGATTTAGGTCATTATGGTATTAATATTTTTTTTTATCTATATTTCTATAATTGTATAATTGTACATTACTTTACAAATATTCTATTGTTATTTTTTATCAGAAAAAAACTATTCTTACGTGCATACATACTACAATAAGTGTTTATATAATTATTTTTAGAAAATTGTAAATCATTAATTTTAATGCCAACAATAATGAACTTCTCATATATAATCTTGCATTTTAAGTCAATACCATCCTCACTAGGGCTCGAAGTCACTTCATGCCACTAGACCACACGGTCATTGAAATTATATTATTATTATTATTATTATTATTATTATTATTATTATAAATAAAACAATTAAAATGTTTAAATATACAATTATACTAATTTATTGAAAAATAAACAAAACATACCAAGACATATTTTTGGAATTCTGTCAAATATTAGAAATAAAATATTTTCTGAAAAATGAATAATTTTTTTAATTTTTTTTTTAAATTTCCAAACACACCCTAAATGCTCTAGCGGGAGGGTGGGGTTGGGAATTTAATTTTTTTTGGGGCAAGAAGTACAAAAGTGGAATTAGTTGTTTAAAACAATAATGCAAAAATGACTATGAATAATAGTGATAAGAGTTAATACCCAAAATAGTCCATCGACTATGTCGTAATTACCAATTTGGTCCTCGACTATCATTCTTACCCAATTAAGTCCTCAACTATACAATTTTTACCCAATTTAGTCCTTTGTCAATTTGACTGTTTGTTGACTTTCAAAAGTGGAAATAAAGTTGTAATTTTACAAGTTTTCTCCTTCCTCATTTAGCAGCGCCAAACCATGTAGCAATAAGCTCCGGTTGGGTTCTAAACCTGTCAGTATCGAAGTAGTGGTTATGCATCGGATAGTCCATGAATTTGATTTCCAACGATTTTTTGACGATCGAAATCTGATCGGAGTGTATTGCTGCATGGTTTGGCGCTGCTAAATGGAGAGGAAGGAGAAATCTTGTATAATTATAATTTTATCCCGACTTTTGACAGTCAACAAACAGTCAAATTAATACAGAAGACTAAATTGGGTAAGAATTGTATAGTTGAGGACTAAATTGGGTAAGAATTGTATAATTGAGGACTAAATTGAGTAAAAGTTACATAGTTGAGGACTTAATTGGGTAAGAATAGTAGTTGAGGACCAAATTGGTAATTATGACATAGTCGAGGGACCATTTTGGGTATTAACTCTAGTGATAAAGTAGAACTTGGAGAACTTGTAGTGTAATAACTGTAAAGTGCAGGAAAAATTGCAAAACCGAGACGAAGTTCTCGAAATTCACGAACATTTTCAATCGCCACCACAATAAATACACAACAGTTGTACACTAAAGCCCTCTTCCCACCTCTACTTTCGCCAAGAACAGTCGAGACCTCTTTCATTTTCTTCACTCCATTTCTAAGATCGCTTGAGATAGAAATGAGATCATCAATGTTGAGATCCCTTCTCAAAAACTCTGTTTCCGATGGTTCTCGCGTCGCGCGCCGCGGGTTTGCGTCGGGGTCCGCCCCCGAGCGGAAGGTCGCCATCTTGGGAGCCGCCGGAGGGATCGGCCAGCCGCTCTCTCTGCTCATGAAGCTCAATCCTCTCGTATCTCACCTCTCCCTTTTCGATATCGCCGGGACTCCTGGCGTCGCTGCCGATGTCAGCCACATCAATACCAGATCTGAGGTATCACTCTTTGATCTCATTAGGCTGTTGTTCTAGTAGATCTCTGCTGTGAATTATTTTTTTGTCTGGTTTGTTGGCGTATGTTGTGGTTTACTGTTTGATTTCCTGGAATTTTTGAAGCTCTGTGTACAATCGGTACTGGTTTGTTTATTTATAGAGATTCGATCTCAGTTTTGTTTGAGTGATCTTGTTTAATTACATTGAATGTCTGATTTGTGCTATAGGTTTTATTCAATTACGTGCCTAGTTGAGTTCTGTTATGGATTCTTATTTGATTTGTTTTCCAGTCTCGAGGCCTCTAGGGTTTTAGAATTTTAGGCTTTGATTTCTGAGTTTCTGCCTTTTTGAAATTCTCTATAAAAACAGTACCACTTTCACCATTTGAAGATCATGGATCACAGTTTTGCTTTATTTTGTTTAATTACTTTCAATCTCATTCTAATTTTGAAGGTTGTTTTTTGCTTTGTGTGGATAGGTGGTTGGGTTTTCGGGAGATGAAAACCTTGGCAAGGCTCTGGAGGGAGCTGATGTTGTCATCATTCCAGCTGGTGTTCCCAGGAAGCCTGGAATGACCCGTGATGATCTCTTCAACATCAATGCTGGCATTGTGAAGTCACTCTCTGCTGCCATTGCCAAGTATTGCCCACATGTGAGTATCTGGTTCCCAAACAAGCCTTTTGTGCATTGTCAAAATTTATAGGTATTGATTTTCTGAGCTAACACTTCTCCTGCCCAATATACAAGGCTCTTGTCAATATGATTAGCAACCCTGTAAACTCCACTGTCCCAATTGCTGCTGAGGTCTTTAAAAAGGCTGGAACATATGATGAAAAGAGACTCTTTGGGGTCACAACACTTGATGTTGTCCGGGCCAAGACTTTCTATGCTGGAAAAGCCAATGTTAACGTAGCTGGTATGATTTTTAATGCATGTCCATTTCACATATATTTTCTTATTTTAATATTTGTGGATTGTCAGAAATGGCATAGATTATCTTACTATTTTGCTCCTCTGCTATTTTGCTCCCATTTTCAGAGGTCAATGTACCTGTCATTGGTGGTCATGCAGGCATAACAATTCTCCCATTGTTTTCTCAAGTACTCTTACTTCTCTTTCATATTTCACATAAGTAAATAGTGTTCACATTTTTGACTTTTAGTATATTGACTTAGTTACATGTTAAAACTTTAGGCTACTCCACAAGCGAACTTAGCACATGATGTGATTGTTGGACTAACAAAAAGAACCCAAGACGGAGGTACGGAAGTTGTGGAAGCTAAGGCTGGAAAGGGTTCAGCCACCCTCTCGATGGCGTAAGTTTAAACTGATTGTTCCCATTTGATGTTATTATAAATCAAGATTCTCATAAATGCTCTAGAAAGTTAGTTTCATTTGCTGGAACAAAAATGTTAGGCTATTTCTGCCACTACCTGGAACCAAATAATTGGTATCCTTTGTTTGGGGAAAGAAGTGTGTGAGGGATGTGCGAGCGTGTCTCTCTATCTTGTCTTTGCACTTGCAAATGCTGTCTATATTATTTTGAAAAATCTTGATATTCTGAAAAGCAAGTTTTTGTTTGTCAATACTGAATACTTCTCCTGTTATGAAATGCTTTTTGTCTTTGCAATACATGCCACTCTCTCTTGTGTTTAGTTCTAAATACTTCCTGTTACTTCTGGTTCTATAACCATGTATTTGACCCTCTCATCATTGTGACTCTTGCAGATACGCCGGGGCCATATTTGCAGATGCTTGCTTGAAAGGACTCAATGGTGTTCCTGATGTTGTGGAATGTTCTTTTGTTCAGTCAACTGTCACTGAGCTTCCTTTCTTTGCATCCAAGGTATTTGAACTCTAACTAATGAATGTATATAATTCATACTTAGTTGTAGTCTCATCCCTATGAATGGACTGCAATTTTCCTTGGTTGGCCTATATACTGGTGTGATTCTAAGGCGGAAATTGTTCCATTATCAGGTGAGACTTGGCAAAAATGGCGTGGAGGAAGTGCTAGGGTTGGGTTCTCTCACAGACTTCGAGAAGGAAGGGCTAGAGAAACTTAAGCCTGAGCTGAAATCTTCTATTGAGAAGGGAATCCAGTTTGCCAACCAGAACTAAGAAATTCTCCCCTTTTGCCATTTGAGTGATTCACAATTTTGAATAATAATTTCGAGCAATTGTTGTCTACTCGGATTTTAGAGACTGCCAGTTTCTTAGATTTAGCTATTTAAAATTGAAGCAGACTAAGGATAGATGAAATACTGGTTCAAATAATTTGTGGAATGAACTGATCATGATATATAATTTGTCTTTTGCCTACTTTGTACTTGTCCTTGTTTACCACTGAATTGTTAGTGATGAAAACCTGAACATTTGTCTGTACCAGATGACACAATTTTTTTTTTTTAAATTTATTTATTTGTCTCAATCTTCTCGTGCTTTTTAAGCAAGGTGTTTTTTTTTTTTTTTTTTTTTTTTTTTTTTTTTTTCCTTCATGATGAAAAACGTCATATTTAATTATTGGTGAAAAAGGTGAACATTATCTTTTGTGGTTGAATTGATATTTGAATTTCTTGTTTATCGTAAATCTGTGTTTGAATTTGACTTTATACTTTAATTTAGAATAAATATCATTTTTAGTCCCTTGACAATAATATATGTATCAATTTTAATTTTTGATTATTAAAATTTTTAAATTAAGGTATGACTATTTAATTTGTATTACATTTGGCAGAAAAATTTAATGACAGGACTAAATGTGATACAAATTGAATAGTCATGCACTTAATTTGAAAATATTAATAGTCAAGGATCAAATATGATACAAATTGAATAGTCATGTACTTAATTTAAAAATTTTAATAATTAAAGACAAAAGTTACTATATGTATTATAATTGAGGAATTGAAAATGATATTTTCTCTCTAAAGAACATCTCATTTCAAAAGATCGACTAGTTCAATACGTTGAAGAATCACTCAAGATTAAGTTCCACTTTAGCGTATTTTTGAGTGACGTGTGTAATTAAGTTCCACTTCAGCGTATTTTTGAGTGATGTGTGTGATGATAAGAGAAATTTTAATACCCAAATCCAAGACTTTAGCATATTTTTGTTTTAGTATCGTTGTGGAATTGACTTTTGGATATTTCCGAGTTTATACTATGATCAAATCTGTATGTTGGACCAATCACAACCATCTCTAGCGGTGTCTGTTGAAAAGTTTTAGCATAAATTACATTTTAAATGACTATTTTGTAGTACAAACATATGTAGGGCACTGAGGTGCACTTTTGACTTAGATCAGATCAAAATGGATTTGAATTAATCAAAGTGAGACGAAGAAATTGATATATTATATTGTATGTTTAAAATGGATAATGGATGAATGAAAAATTGATTTACAAAATATACTGATTTAGGGATGACAATTCTACTCCCACCCGATGGTTCCCCACATCCCCACCCCAATGAATATTAAAATACTTGCACGATTTGGGTAATGTGTGTGATGATAAGAGAAATTTTTTATACACGCGCGGGTTCTGTACGCTTAAACCACGCACCTAAAGTTTTAAAATGACGCACTTTAAGTTTCAACAATGATGCACCTTAAGCATACAAATAACGCACCTTAAGAAGGAAATTAAAATAACACACCTTAAGAAGGAAAACCACACACTTAAAGCTTTAGCCCGACGCACCTTAAGTTTCAACAACTGACTCACCTTAAGCACACAAACAACACACCTTAAGAAGGGAAACCACGCAGCTTAAGAAGGAAAATGTTAAGAATCTGGGAGCCAACAATGACTGAGCTATTAATAAATTTTGGTGCCGATATAATTTAAATTAAATTAGTTTTTGAGTTATTATATAAATTATTTAGTAAGTTAAGTTGGGAATTAAATAGACTGTTTGTTGATTAATTCCTACATAATTAATAATTGTTAGTTAGGATTAGAGTAACTTTAGGGAATTTTAGTTATTTTGGTTCCTCATTAATTGTCATTTATCTAGATTAGTTTGTTGTAGTTGTTAGGATTTCAAGGATTCTACTACTACAAATGTTGCTCATCTTATATGAATGAGATAGATTATGAAGTTAAATGAATGAAAGAAATGCTAAGACATTCTTTATTGTCTCTCATGTGATTTGAGAGGTGTTCTTTTAGGCTCATCAAGATAATACCAATCTTGTGGTGCCGTTCATTCCTTATCACCTAAGACCAATGTTGAAAAAATCGCTAGGCGCCGATTAATCGGCGCCTAGGCGCGATTTTTGCATCAGTGCCTAAGACCAAGGTGTGGCGGAAATATCCTTATTAAAAACACCAAAAATAATCCCTTAACCAGCCCTATAAGCCAAATATCATCTCCCGCATGCACCCCAAATAAACCTTAGTTCTTGTTGATGTTGTTTTTGTGAGGAAAAGATCGGGCGAATTCGTCCCCGGGGGATCCGTATCATTTGTGCTGATTAATTCCCACATAATTTACTAAATAATTTATATAATAACTCAAAAACTAATTTAATTTAAATTATATCGGCACCAAAATTTATTAATAGCTCAGTCATTGTTGGCTCCCAGATTCCTAACAGAAAACCACGCACCTAAAGTTTTAGATTGACGCACTTAAGTTTTCAACACCTGACGCACCTTAAGTCACACAGTACAAAAACACTCACCTTAAGTATAGAGTCCACGCACCTTAAGAAGAAAAATCACACACATTAAATTTGACCTAGATGCAAAAAGACCAAATTGACATCGTGCATTTTTTAATCATTGTTAGTCAAAAACGTTGATTTAGACAAGATCAATGGCTCATATTTAACCGCACAACCGCACTGAAAATCCATATATATATATATATATATATATATATATATATATATATATATATATATAATACTTTTGTTATTAGTATTCACTTATTATATAAGTTTATGCATCTTGTATAGTTAAAAAAGCATAACACATTAACATCTCATTGTCTAAGTTTTATTTTTTAAAATTGTTTTTAATGGAATTTTATTTGTATGTTTGTGTATAGAAGAACATTGGAACTAAATAATGGACTATAATTTGTAATCATTGTTTGATTCTATTGATTATTCTGAAAACAAAAAAATGTAGGGAGAATAATTTTAAGAACAATTAGGGTGTGTTTGGTTGGTGGGTTTTGCCTATAGGAATGGGTATAAAAGTGATTGTTGTTGTTTGGTTGATAGATTTTTAGAATACTACTATGGGTTTCGAATACTCCATCAATTGAAAAACCCATACCCAAATACAATAAGGATTTCATTCCCTTATTCATTTTCAAGCATTACTATTAGTAACCATTCCCATTCCACCCTACTACCAAACATGTTAAATACTTTCACCAAAACCCATTACTATTACCAAGTATTTGATATCCATTCCGATTCCGATTCCTATGTGCGAACCAAACACACCCTTAGTTATTATCCTTATGGTTCTTTAATCTGGTTATTGTTGTAGTTATAATATTCACTAACACCAATGGATTGCGCACACTTACTATAGTAATCATTGCATGCTATGTTAATTTGGACTAAATTTTATTAATCTATGTAATGATTTTGTTGGAATAGGGTATAAAGGTACAGAGCGAGACGTAAGAAAATAGTAATATTATTGCTCGTGACGCTAGACTCAAAAGAGTGCATACAAAGCCCGCTATACTGGTCCAAAATGGCGGCCAAATAATAAATAAATAATACAAGCTATAGTCTAAGGAATGGACTAAGAATAATATCGTAGCTACTAGGAATTCCCTAGTGTATCGGTTAAAGGTTAGGAACTTATACCACTGAACAAAGGGGATTAAGTGATCCAAGGTATGATGTCTTATGGAGGGAATAAAGGTGCCTATTTATAGTGTGGAGAGCCATGCGGATGGTTAATAAATGTACGACATCATTAGCTAGTCTTCAATCTTGGACATACATGTATCCCCCCACTACCTGCATGCCATTGATTTTTACACAGATAAATAAAACATCCTACCTTTTAATACATACGATATGATGTGTGGTAGCTTGGTACGTGGTTTATAACTCATGTTGTTATGCTTGAGGTTGTTGGTTTGATATCTGGTCACTTGGTAGCAGATCATGTAACATTTTGCTACATGCTTCCTTTTTCACCCCTTTGGGCCAAGACTTATTCAATAAAATGGACTCCAAGGTCTCATGTCCCCATCACTATCAATATTAAAATACGAAATCTTTTTAATAATTATATTTTCACTTCTATTAGAGAAGTATCTATGTGACCATTATTTGTTATTGATCCTTTCAAGTGCCCTTACATAAAAAAAGGTGAAATTTTGGCGAGAGAAGAAAATTTTAATTGAATTTAGTCAACTTGAATAAATTGAAAGACCAAAAGCGATCAAATTAATAATTGATAATAAAAGAATATAATATTATTATAATCAAGGAATTACAAATTGAATCAATTTTTTTTTAAAGATTGCATGAAATAAAGTTTCATGTTCGAACAACATTGATGTGTGTGCATATGTGTGTGCGCGTGCGCGCACGTGTGTGTGTGTTCAACCTTATAAAAAAAATTCGTGTGATAATTAAATTGTAGTTAAAAAATCTTATTAGATTTAAGTGCAATATTAATGATTAGACTTGCAGGTTGGTATTGTCCGCACCTACAAAATCCCCTTAGGGGCAGGTATAGGGTATGAATTTAATTACCTGGACAGGTGCGGGGATTGGGGTGAGAGTGCAGGTGTAGGGGTATGGAATATATCTCCCGCATCACTTCGCTCCACTGCCATTCCTAAACCCATTTGACTTGGAAAATGGAGATAGGAAAGGTTAAAAGTAGCATTTTGTCTCACATCGGAATGAGAATTGAGTTTGCACTAGTATATATATAATTCGCTTTTAGAAGAAGTTTGAATTGTATAGCATAAAAGCTCTCTATTGCGCGTAGGAGTGGTGCAAATCAAGTCTCAAAATGTGTTTGAAAAGGGTTTGCAACCTGCTTTGGGCATTTTTCCAACAAATTTGACCACTGACAAAGAGTTTACCAAGAAGTGAATAACCTTTTTAATTTAGATGTTAAAGTCATTGTTTATTGTTAATTTTTATCATCTCCTATAAATACCTTGGTGTTAAGCAAATTGTTTGTTGCTGATATAGAAGAACATTTCTTTGCTCGGGAGGAGTGTCCTTATCTATGATCGTAAGATAAGAAGATATAGCAGTCCTTAGACCGAGAAGGGAAGCCTCATCATGTACGATCATAGGATCTGGAAAAGCGAATGACCATTAAACCCCTAGCCCAAACGTGGCATAAGAAGAGAAACATCCTCAATAGCGACCTCTCGAGATCAC